CTCTGGCATGTTCTTCAAACTGGTGCCAGAAAGCTTAATGGCTTGACCAAATCATTTCATGTTGCAGATATGAACGACTGCCAAAAATGCACAGATGGGAACTATCCAAACAAAAACCAGGATTTCTGTATTCCCAAGACTGTAACCTTCTTGGCTTATGAAGAACCATTAGGGATCAGTTTAGCTTGTTTTTCTCTGTCCTTTGCTTTGATCACAGTTCTGATCCTAGGAGCATTTATGAAGCACCATGGCACACCCATCATCAAAGCCAACAACCGCAACCTCACCTACACTCTCCTCATCTCCCTCTTGCTCTGCTTCCTTTGTACACTGCTATTCATTGGCCGACCTGAGAAGGTAACATGTCTCCTCCGACAAACTGCTTTTGGCATAATCTTTTCAGCGGCTGTTTCATGTGTCTTGGCAAAAACAATCACTGTGGTTCTAGCTTTCATGGCAACCAGGCCAGGATCCCAGATGAGGCTGTGGGTGGGGAAAAGACTAGCCAGCTCCATTGTTCTGTCCTGCTCCTTGGTTCAGGTAGGTATCTGTATGGTGTGGCTGGCAACCTCCCCCCCATTCCCAGATGTGGACATGCACTCTGTAACAAATGAAATCATATTGGAATGTAATGAGGGGTCTGTGACTCTGTTTTACTCTGTTCTTGGCTACATGGGTTTCCTGGCCATTATCAGTTTCATTGTGGCTTTCCTTGCCAGGAAGTTACCTGACAGTTTCAATGAAGCCAAGTTTATCACTTTTAGCATGTTGGTTTTTTGCAGTGTTTGGCTGTCCTTTATTCCGTCCTACCTGAGCACCAAAGGAAAATACATGATTGCAGTGGAGATCTTTTCTATCTTAGCCTCCAGCGCTGGGGTGCTAGGGTGCATCTTTTCACCAAAATGTTACATTATATTATGGAGACCTGAACTGAACAATAGGGAAGAGCTAATAAGAAGAAAATACAGAAAAAATTAAGAACCTGCAACCTTTGTTTTAGTTTATGATCTAGAGTTGCAAATATGCAGAGCAGAATATTTATAGTAGTCAGCACAGATAAATCTTATTCATCTATCAACACAAGGGTCCCACTATCCACCCCCTCACTTTTTGTAAATTTACATATTCAAGCATAAAGAATTATGCCCAAACCTCACTATACACTCTGCAAATTCAGAAACCTGAACAGATGAATCAGAGTCCAGGGGAACTGGACAAATCAATTTTTGCCTTTGTCTCTCTTTTACTGATTGGTTGCAGCCATTTCAGGAAGAAATCAGGTGGGGATGGGGATTGGACAAATCCCTGATTCGAAATGTTTCCATAGGAAATAATGGAAATTATGGACTTCTTATGCAAACACTTGCCTAATGAATGATTTCCAGGAACACATTGTGTTTCGTAAGCAGGAAATGCATATATCATTATATTTCTATCTCACATTTTCTTTTAAGAGCTTTTCAGTTCACCCCAAGTTAAAACTTCATTTGGAATACTGGATAAAGGTTTGTCTAAAGGGAAACTATGGAGCCCATACATCTTACTCTCATCTCCCTTTCAGCAGCTCTTCTTGAAATCCATGAGCTGCTTCTCAAATTCTTCTCCCATGGGATCTGCTGACTACGAAATTTTCAGAGCAATCTACCTTTTTTGTACTTCAATGATTGTTGAGTGTGCACTGTTTGTGTGCTGTTTCACCTCTTCCTGTTGTCACTGAGGGAGTGGAGAAGGCAAAGCAAAGCAGCACAGTGTATACTAAAAAAACAAAGAGGAGCATTAGGCAGCAAATAATGTGGGAGCCACTTCCAAAAATGGCAGGACACAGACACTCAGCGATCCTGTGGCTTTCTTAACCTAACTTGGCTGATGCCCAAATAAACCCAACTTGCCTCAGGACTCAGCCAAATCCAGTGCCTAACCCTAATATTTATAACCCACTCTTCGCTGAATGTTTCAATCCCAGAGCAGGGAACAGTGCAATAAAAGAACAATATAAATATACAGGAAAAGAAAGATACCAATATACAAAACTTGCAGTATCCATTAAAAACCCACAATTTCAATAAATAATATAAACAAAAACTCCATCAAAAGAACAAACCAAACAGTGGTGAGGACCACAAACAGGGCATTTGATGAGATTAGCTCTTGCTTCAGAATTCCATCTCCACCCACCCCCAATAAACTGGGTCCCATGTGTTTTTCTTCTCTTAAATTTAGGTTTCAAAAAAAACAAACCCACAAACTTAAGCAAGCCTCCCAGATATCTAACATCCCTAGCAGCCCATGGGCCTGGGAACTGATGTAGCTTGTGCAAACCAGGTTTAAAGAGCTACAAATATTTGTAGAGCTGGGGATTTCAGAGGCACTAATCAGAGTAGCCTCCATGTTGAGAGACAGGCACTTTGCTTTCTTATCTTCTGTCATGAATAGTCATCGCATAAATTCTCATTTGCAACACAGTCTAAAGCTGACAAGCCACCAATCACACTCGGGGGATGCTGCCTCCAAGGACTTGTAAAACTTACCGTTTAATGAGGTTTGTATAAACTATTCTACATCATACTTGTAAGAGGAATGCAGCTGGCCGAAAATGCAACCTTGACTCTTTTCTTTTTTTTAACAAGCTGGGCATCTGGTTCAGAGAAAGGGAAACCTCAGGTCCAGGAGTCTCTTTGTCTGGCTCTCAGGACTTTCCCCATAACCCCACACCCTCTTGAATCACACCACTTATTGGCCCTGCTTTGTACCTTCCTCAGGTGTTTTTGCCTGGCTGGACTGTGTCCTTTGAACTCGGATTTATGTTTGCCTGAATGGGGGGGGTAGAGTAGAGAGGGGTGTGAGAAGAAAACTAGCCTGCTGTACAAAAGGTTGTGGCCAATGCACAACCAAGTTCGGAGCGTGTGATACATAGTATAGGGTATTTATTTTTTAACAGTACAAACTTATACATGTCTACCTGAAGTAAACCCTAATAAGTTCAATGGGATTTACTCCCCGGTAAGTGTATATAGTGTTGCAACCTCGGTCAACCTTTTGACCTTGATTTGTAGGAGTCTTGTGCATCTTGCAGTCTATATTTAATAATATGATTTGATTGGATCTGCAGATGCTAATAAATAATCTAGACTTTCGCAACTCTGCTTTCATCAGTGTTAAGCAATGTCAAGATTGTGAGGAGGCTGCATTTACCACTTCTTCATTTTTTTGAAACTTGGCAGATTAATATGCAGCCTCTTTCATCACTACCAAGTGCACAATTGCTGTACTAGAGGAAAGCAGAATGTTCTTCAGAACTGGAACACGGAAGCCCTGAGGCGTGTTTTGAAATGTCTATAGCTGTGTCTTTCCAGCTTTGTAGAACACAGCATCCAATGATTTTGTTAAAGTGTGCATTTCAGGGAAGCAGGGAACATATGAGTACATATAGCTAAGGTGAAAGAACAGCAACAAGAAAAAACCAATGGATTTCAAACTCATCAGATGTCAAGGAAATAAACAACTATCTGACTTTTAGAAGACATCTGAAGGCAGCCCTGTTTTTAATGTTTGATGTTTTATTCTGTTTTTAATCTCTTGGCAGCTGCCCAGAGTGGCTGGGGAAACCCAGCCAGATGGGTGGGGTATAAATAAATTATTCATCATCATCATGCTCTGACTGCTGCTCCATTTCTTAAAGAGATTGTTGAAGGCTTATATCTGGAAAGCATTGGAAAACCCGTTCCAGGACACTGTTATATGAAAACACACATTTTATATCTGAAGTATGGTTGCCATATTTCAAAAAGTCTCCATATAACAGATGCTAGGGAGACAACTGTTGTTGATACAGCAGTATCAATGTGCATGGCACTCTACATCCCTCCCCTCGGGTGCCCTCCATATATTTTGAACTATGACTCCCATCAACCCTGACCATGCTGGCTGGGGCGGATGGGACTTGGAGAACCACAGGTTCCCCTCACCTACGCAAGAAAATTCAGGACAATAGGGGGAAGGTTGGCTGCAGGACAGTGGCTGTTTGGGTGGCAACAGCATTCTGGTGTTTGTCTCCCTTTTCCTCCCTCTGTATGCTGTTCTGGGAGCTCTCCTGACTCCCCAGAGCAGATTTGGGGGAGATGTGGGGACAAGTGGCTAGGAAGCATGGGGGAAGCCCCATTACGCTCATGGGAGTCCTTGTGCAGTCTTTTACTAGCACACCAAGTTCGTTTAATCTGGCCCAATCCATTTTGATTGCCAGGGTCAAGGAAAGTTGCTTGTGGGAGTTTTCTGCCTCAGGAGTCCAAAAAAGTAACTTGACCAGTCTTCGGTTACTACGCACCTAGACTTGTGTGTGTGAGATGTGCCATTCATTGCTCCACCTCAGGCAGAAAAATGTCTTACCCCAGCTCTTCCTTCCGGGCTACCTGGGATCTCAGAGAAGCAAGGTCTCCCAGCATGGAGGTGCTGTGGTGTCATTGTGCACATAATGAAGGGCATTATTATTTAGGTATGTTCATGTTTGATTTTTCCAACTAGAAGCAGTCACAAGGCAACTTACTATTTAGGTGGGTCAGTGGGTGGAGGTGCCTGCCAGCACCAATGTACTGGCTCCCTACGTGTCTGAGCATCTTGGGGGGGCAGGTTGTCACTGCAGTGAGCCATGATAGAGAGATGCTGCTGGTGGTGTAACTGATGCTGGGGTTGTGGCCATAATTGCCATTCTGTGGTGTGTTTTTCAGAACAGTATGTCTTTCTGCTCCTGCTCTGCCCTTGTTGCATAGATTTGGCAGCCATGGCACCTGGGTTTCGTTCCGCCCACTTGTTGAAACAACATGTTAACATTATTTCACCTCGTACAGCTACTGAAAGGTGTTCATAGCTTATATTAATTGCTCCACCTTGGGCAGAAAAGGGATATACTGAAAGCTGATAAGTGACATCTGACTGTTTTTCTTGGCTGTTTTCATCCAATGTGCATTACATTATTTTCCCCTTCTGCTTTAATCTTTCATCAGTGCTGCTGTTTATTCCAGCTACTTTAATACACCATTAAAGAGCCTTTGAACACCAACAAAGGATTTTATTAAGCAACGTATTTTATTAATATGTGACGTTTTGCAAATCACACAAACCATACACTCCAGTGGCCAACACTTTAAACACTCCCCCTTTAATTTTCCCACCCCTCATTTTTTTCACTTTTCCGCCCCTTTAATTTTTTCCACTTTTCATTCATTTACAAGATTCTTGAGCATATTTTGAGAGCTAAAGTTTCAGGGCGTCTGGCTCTGAACTCCATAAAGGAAGCAAAATGTAAGGCCCCTAACTACACATTGTGCTAGCAATGTGATTAGCTATGATGTCATGAATTTGTTTTAATTAAATACCTGGCTGCGGGGTCGAGCCAGCTGTAATCACCACTGCAGCATGTGAGGGAGGGGAGGGTTAAATCATTCCTCCCCAACTCTGGTCTCAGCAAAAATATTCCCTTGCCCAGTCCAGCAGATAACATTAGAGGGGGCGAAGTACTGCTGTCAATGGGAGTGGTTTTTTTTCCTTAATGCTAACTACTGTATGGGAGATTATATTTACCAAATCACAGTTGTGGAGGGAAGACTTAGATCTCCCTTGCCCTTGTACTGTGGTGCCAGTCACCATCAGGGTGTCCATGCCTCATCTTCAATTTTCTCCGAAACCCACTACATGATTGCTAATAATTTGGTTGGTGTAATGGAAAATAGTTAAACCCATAGAAGACAGGATAATGGCTGCTGCTTAGTGTCATGGCCAGCTGAGGAATAGTGCATGTGATTAATTAAGGGTACATCTACATCACAGTTTTTAATTACTTTGAAAGTTATTCTTTCCTCCTGAGAATTGCAGTGCTGTGAGGAAACACTGCCTAACAGACCATTATTCCCAAACTGCAACTCCCAGGTTGCCATGACAATGAAATTGTCATAAAATCACTATAATTTTGTATTTCAGGTATACTTGAAAACATAAAGTGATGTGGGCAGATAGAAATAGATAAAGAGGGAGTAAAGGTAAGGATTCCTTGAAGCAACTCTTACACAAACCTGTTTCAAGCATACGTATTCCAAACAGACAGTTTTGTATTAGACTGAAATATGGACTTTTAAAATAGTCATAACACTAGCATCCTAAAGTTGAAACTTTTTTTTTAATGCATATTGTGATACACTGACCTGGGCAGGGGAAGGAGAGGTGAAGATAATGCTAATCTTTAGAAATTGGAATGTATCAAATACATTGATTACTTTGCTTTTCAACTTTGATCCAGTAAAAAGCAAGTTCAGTATCAGAGGTAGGAATTGGCATTTACCATGAATCAGGCAGCTACCTCAGGTAGCTGATTTTCAGTGTCATGAAAAGTTTAAGACAGTTTACAAAGCTGTTTTGCCTTTAAAAAAAAAAACACAAGTGGGGGAATCAGACAACTGAGCGTTTTCTGTAGTTTGAGCCTCAATTAATTTGCCTCAGAGGTCCAACTCTGTCCCTTAAGGCAGGCATGTCCAAATTCCATTTCGCAGGCCTTCATCAAATCTGGCCCTCTTTGAAAAAAGTTTGGGCACCCCTGCCTTAAGGCATCACCCAACAACAGGCACATGATGATTCCATGATGATGCCCCTCCCCGACCCAGCTACCCATGATTTCTGATTGCACCATACATATGTAAAAGTTTTGTGGCAAGAAAGGAGACAGTGGCTAGTAGGGGTCATGAAAAAGGGTGTTGCATCCCCCTGTTGAGAAGGAAGCACCAAACCATCTCTATGTCTGCAGAGGCACCCATGCGCTCACTGCATTTGTATCTCCCTGTGCAAGTGCTGCTCACGGCCAAGTGGATAGTAGTTATTAGAATCCTGGGCAGATGAAGTTAGGAGTGACCAAGAAATGGGAGAAAGATGAGATGAGAGGTAACCCCGCAGCACTTGACCACTTGTAACTTCTTTTTCCCACAGATCCTATGGCAAGATATGAATAAGGGTCCACACCAAAACCTGGAGCAGGACAGTTATGAAGGCCTGTCCCCTCCCAACAGCTCCAGAAGTGCCTTGATTCCTGATCCTGGTGTTGTAACCCCTCCTAGGTTCAACAAATTCCAAATTGGGGATAATCCTGTGAATCCAATCGTGGTATGCGGTAAGGCGGATGTACACGCCAGGGCGGTTCTTCTCAGCACAGCCTTCTCCCCAGCTGACAATACCAGCCAAGAGCCATTCCTGGTTTATCTTGCACATCAGTGGGCCACCAGAATCACCCTAGGCCAACACAAAGATGGGTGTTAGATGCATTTGTGATTCAGTGTGGCATGGTTGTTAGGAGGTGGGAAAACCTTCTCATACTTCCCAACAGTGCAGCTCTCAGCTTAGAAACTAAAGCAAGATGCATTTTACAAAGAAGCATATGTTGAGGGTGGAGAAGATGTTTGGGAATGCATAGTTTTTTTGTGGGGAGGGGATGAGAACATGAGAAGAGCCCTGTTGGATCAGGCCAAAGGCCCATCTAGTCCAGCATTTTGTTCTTACAGGGGCCAATCAGATGCCCCAGGAAAGCCCACAAGCAGGACCCACAAGGGAAAAGGTAAAGGACCCCTGGGCAGTTAATGTATGCCATCTCATGCAGTCTCTTTTCAATGGCGAGGCTGAATATCAAATGTCTTAAAGAATAATAGAATTAGATAGCAGGTGAGACAGGAAGGACCTTATCCATGTGGAACTGAAGGCAGGTCTTGATGAGAGAAATCCCTCACCTTACACGTGTCCTTCATACCCTCAGCATACCCGGCACACATCATGTCGTCCTGGATGGGTTTCTGGGGCAGGTTTGGTCCCATGTCAATACTATAGAGCCGTCTGCAGGTCTGAAGATCTATTATGGGCACCTGAAGCTTCTGGAGCTTCTTTGGAGAAGGCAGATCCTCTGAAGTGAAGAACATGGGATGGTGAAGCAGAAACATGGAGACACGGTTATCATTTTATTATATTTCCTTTACCACTTGCACAATCCATTTGTGAGTTGGAAGGCACACCGTAAACAGATGTGCAAGAAGGTCAGTCAAGTATACCTTCAGGGTATAGATGCAATCAGCTGGAACAAAGTTTTTACTAGTTTCCAATTGTTGGGTAACATGCAAGACCAACCTTTACTTCTAGCATACTTACCAGGCTCCAGATGTAAGTCAAGTTCCTAATTTTCTTCCAGCAGGCTGGGCGTTTGTAATATATTGGAGATGCTGGAGCGCAAAGCATGTGCTCTAGCACTGAGCTTCTGCTTTTCCCCTCCAGCACTCTGCTTCCCCCACTAGCCAATCAGATGCCTACAAGCAAGACACAAGGGCAGCAGCCTTCTCCCTCTGATCCCAGAATTAGCATACAGCCATCATGACCACTAACCATTGATCACAGTATTTTTTCAAAGCATTGATACATATTCTCAGCAAATCCCATTACAAGGGAAAGGAAAGTTGGGGCACGGATCTTAGAAACAGGCTTTATAGAGCAGGAAGGGTGCATCATTATTATTTTGCATTTTCCTGGACAAGAAAGGAAACCTTGACAAGTTCTAACATTTTCCCCTCTCCCAGTACTCACGTCCTTCGCTGATATCTCCCCAGCCAGTGACCCAGCACATCATGCCTGCAGGAAAGTCCACGTTGGGTGCAGGTACACAGATTGGGCTGATGTAATTGGTGAATCTCACTGGGAAGATCAGCCTCACCAAGGCGATGTCTCCGCTTGTGGCCTCCCCTGCATAGCGGGGATTTCTGATTATGTCTCCAACTCCTATGGACTGTTTGTGGGGCCAGGAATTCTCCAGTTTGTTGGCCCCTAGCAACACGGAGTATTGGGAGAGATCACCTTCTCTGCAAGGGGATGGATGAAAAATTGCTATGAGGAACATTGTCGCCATTGCATACAATTTACTTGGCTGAGATCAGGAGGCTTTGGGATGCTAGCATTCAGACTATCTCAAATTTGCAACAACAACAAAAAGGGGGGACACATTGGGCAAACCTGCACTTTAAGCCTGAGATGGTCCCATGGGCATTCTGATTCTGATTTCCCATTCTGCCTTTGTTCTGGGTACACTTTATCTGAAGCATCTTACAGCTAGGAAGTTTGCCAAGAGCAAAGTTTACCAGATCAAAACAAGTCATCTTGCCAAACAATTCTTTCAGCTAATTAAAATAAGCCTTGCAGCAGTTGAGCTAACAGATTGGATCAGAGCTCCTTGTTAATTTCATGTCCTTGGGAAGTTCATTAAGATACCCAGTGCTGTGTTTCTCAAAAAAGAGGTGCCGGAACTAATCATGAACACCTCCTTCAATCTCTTAGAATGGCAATGGCACCCACCTGAGAGGTGCTGGAACTGATTTGCGATGAGTTCCAGCTGGGGGAAAAAGCCCTGAAAATACCTTTTGTTAAGGCACTTTAATAGAAACATGTGTCCATGTCTCAGCTCTTTTGCAAACTAATCAAGATAACTGGTGTTGAACTTGAATACTGTATTTTTTGCTCTATAAGACTCACTTTTCCCCTCCTAAAAAGTAAGGGGAAATGTGTGTGCGTCTTATGGAGCGAATGCAGGCTGTGCAGCTATCCCAGAAGCCAGAACAGCATGAGGGATTGCTGCTTTCACTGCGCAGCGATCCCTCTTGCTGTTCTGGCTTCTGAGATTCAGAATATTTTTTTCCTTGTTTTCCTCCTCCAAAAACTAGGTGCATCTTGTAGTCTGGTGTGTCTTATAGAGCGAAAAATACGGTACTTTATTCTTAAACTTGGGTCTGGAAAGCAGAATTTGCAGAACCTTATAAGCTTTAACATACTGTGAAACATTAAAGCAATATGAAACTGCTTCATAATCTTTGCCTTCAGTTTATTTTTAGAAACAGGAATGCAGTGGATGTATAAATTAAAATATGCAACCTGGTTTCCAAAGAATAGGAATGCTGAGTGGGGAATTACAATGGTCAGGAGAGAAATTCAGCAGAGATTAATTTTGAAAGATAGATGACCAGGGTTGTAGTCTATAGAGAACTGGATTCTTTGCCTTGGACATAATCTGCATTACCCCCAAGACTGTAGTCTAACACAGAGACCTGCAGGGCTTGGGCCAGGATATCCAAAGGATGACACATCTTCAGGCGAACCTATCTATATATTGAAAACAGCCTATATCTTCTGGGCTTTTCTTATAGTTCCCACAACATCTGAGATGACATGGATGACAGAGAGAACAGGGCCTTTTCATGGGGGGGGGTGCATTTATAGGATAGTCTCCCACCTGACTTGTAAAGAGTCTTGGGCTCAGTGGACTGCAGGTGGGAGGAAAAGAGCCATTTCTGGGTTACTCACGGTGGGAAGCAATGTGCTGCGGTCACAATCCAGTCATGGGTTATCAAAGCCCCTCCACAGATATGCTTGCCCATCTTCTTCACACTGACCTGCCATGGCCATTCACCTTCCACAGAGTCCTCACCCCCAACATTTCTATTCAGGGTGATTGGTCGCCCACATACTAGGAAAAGAAAGAGATGGGTGGGGTTAAACTCAACACTGGGAGCAATCTGTTCTGCACACTGCACATCTGGCTAAGTCAACACACTCCTTAAGAACAGGAGAGCAGCCCTGCTGGATCTGACAAAAGGCCAAATCTGGCCCAGCATCCTGTTCTCTGAGTGATCACCTGAGGCTTTAGTTGCATCACTCCGAAATTACTGTTGTGTTCTATTTGGGGTTGCCTTTGAAAAGTTCCAAGAACTCCAAAAGGTCTAGAATGCAGTGGGCCAACTGTTAATAGGGGCCCACCTGCTGGGTACATGTGCTTCTCTTGCTAAGGCAATGGCACTAGGTTCCAGTTTGTTTCTGAGCCTAATTCAAGTGCTGGTGATGATACTGAAAGCCTTTCAGAGATTAGAATGGTGATATTTTCAATGGATGCCTTCTTGTGTGACCAGAGGTTTAAAATCACTCATGGAGGAGTTGGGAATGGAAAATTTGTGGAGGGATACTGGTTTTATTTCCATTTTTTCCAAAGTCTAGACAATGCATTTTGCAAAGGAAGTAGATTTGGCACATGTCTACATCTTGTGTCTAATATGCGGCGCAGCCTATGAACTGGAAAGTAAGTTCCACTGACAAGAGGGCTTAAACACAGGCAAGTGTGTAAAGGGATTGCAGTCTTATTCTATTTCTGCTAGGCACAAAGAGGGAAAAAGGATAACACAGAGCACTGAACTACGTCATCTTACTATATTTCATTTTCAGATTCATTTTGTTTCAGCCACGAGACCTCGTAAGCTTGCTTTTAAAGACACTACAAGATTCTCAGCATTCTGAATTTTGCATCAAACTTCAAATTTAACAGGTGTGAGGGACTGATGTTGCCCTAACTGAAAAGACAACCTTTGTGGGAACAACAAAGGGGAGACCAAGACCTCTCCCATGTTTTGAACATAGGAAGCTGCCTTATATCAAGAGATGAAAGGCATTGAAACCATCTACCCCAACTACGGAGACCAAATTCCATGCTAAAACAACTTTTAAGAAGTAATGGTGGTGTAATCTAGACACATATTTAAAAAAAAGTGAAAATGTTTTTTTTAACATTTTGAAAAATATATTGAACTTGCCATAGCTCACCATCACCATCTACTGTCACATTTGTATAATGCACTTTACAGCAAACTTAAAACATTTTATTTGCCGCTGTATAGCTGAGTCCTGTGTTGCCTGTGCTCATAGGGAATTTGTTGCATCCCACTAGAAAGATTTGCACTTTTAGCCTTGTCATAGGTGACCTCTAAACCCAGGATCTAAGATACATCTGTAGTAGAGAAGCAGGATGTGGATGTCCATATTGTGTTGCTTAGTGGGGTCCCCTGGAATGCACAAGACATGGATGGACAATCTGTTGCCTTCCAATTCCCATTATACCTGACCATTGCCCACACCAGCAACATCTGGAGGGCCACAGGTTGCTTATCCCCAGAACCCAGCGTAAAAGGTTAAAAAGTCTGATGATAAAAACTTACCCCAATGGGAACGGGTCATATGATAACCTGCAACAGAAAGAGGAGGAATCAACAGGGACAACTGTGACCCAGGGCTTAAAGCTAAAGATACACAATCAAAAACCATAAGTAATCACGGGACTTTTATTCCAAGAAGAAGAAAATAATTGGGGGGAGGATTGGATTGCCCCAAATATCCTCCCCAGCTCCTGATGCTGAGACTGCTTTTTTAAATCTCTCCCACCTCCCCAGGCACTGTGCTTAAACCTTGTACCTAAGCCTTGGTGTGAAATGGACAGGAGGAGACATGATCTCCATCTCACAGCTCTCAGACAAGGGCAAGCAGTGGGAACACAAGATGCTGGCCAATAAGATGTCAACTGAATGTGAATGGCATCAGCCAATGCACTGTTGGAGGAGAGCACAGCTGATCTAATAACTGAACTGCACAGTGTTTCATGGGAAGTGTTTCCTACTAAAAGAAAGGGGGCACTCCTTAAGTTTGTAGATATCAAATTAATATCATTTAATGATGTAATGAAAGGAGCACATGAAGTTGCCTTGACAGAAGACGCTTTGTCCATCTTGCCCAGTTTTTCCTTCACTGTCAGAGATGCTTCAGGGATGTGGTCCACCATGTCTTTTCTCCAAATCACAGTAATAGTGCACTTGCAATTTCAGTGTTTTTGTTTTAACGTTTTGCTCAATGCTTTACTGGATATTTATTGCATTTCGATATTGTGTACTGACTTGTTTTTGCTTGCAGTTTTATGATTGCAGCTTGTGTGAACCACTTAGAGTTTTTGTTATATCAAGCAGTATATAAGATATTAAATTTGGGTTGACTGAGGCGCAGCACAATTACATAGCTAAACAGATTTAGCTATGCACTGACATCACTGAGGGCAAATGAGGACAACTGAGATGCAGGGCAGTGTTTCTTGAATTAGTCACCCTGAATTAGTCCACCCTGTCAGGGAGCACACAGCAAGTCTGTTGACATCACAATAAATTTGAATTGCAAATCTTTGCCTGGAAGTTTCTTCTTGGAATTCCTGAAACAATAGCTGGTTTGGAGATCATCCTCTCCCAGAAAATTAGGCACTTACCTGGTTACCATTAGGGATCTGAAATATGCCTATCAATTGTATACCTTTCAAGCTAAAAAGAATCCAGTGCTAGAAAACCTTTCATTTTCAGTATAGCATTTTCTCTCTAAATATATATCCTAGTTACATCCAACCATTGTGGTACTTTCTGATTACAAGAAATGCACACAATCTAATTCATTCCAAATCAAATATAATTGCTTTTTTTAAAAAAATATGATATATGTTAACTAATCACCTGTGTCTGACATAACCAAAAATGTAATCAATCCTAATCAATTTATTATAACATGTAATCACCATTGATTGTCTGGTATAATGTATTTTGTTTTACATTGGAAAGGAAGCCAAGGATTCAGGTAGGAGAGTCTATGTGCTTTACTCCCTCTACCACCAGGACAGTTTACAGTTTCTCAGTTTCAGTTCACAGAAACAGTAGCAGTAAAAACTATATAGGCAAAATACTATAAGCACGGAGCTAGGGTTGCCATACATCCAGAATTTTCCAGACATAGGTGGTATTCAGCCCCCTTAAGCAGCATCCGGGCGAAAATCACTGAAATGTCCAGGAAATTCCGACATATGGCAGCCCATGTCAGTAGTGTAGATGTTGGTGATTTTCATTTGAAAATTAGCTCAAAAATATATTTTTTGTTGAGATTTTACCAAAAACTTTTTAAAAAATCAAAAAGAAAAGTTCAACAACTTTGCTGAAAAAAGGACAAAAACCTTTGTGTCTGGATTTTCACTTTTTGACATATGGCAACCCTACACTGAGCCCTCTCTACCAATTTCTATGCATTTCTATGGTCTGAGTATCTGCCTATCAGCCATACAGCTCCATGGACTTAGCCCCTTCTCATGCTAACTAGCAAGAATATGCATTTGTTAGGTTTGGCTGCTAACCCACGGTCAGGCCCAAGAAAGATCTGTGCACTTTGCCCATAACCACCAGGTCAAACTTCCATGTCAAATTCTGTCAGGCTGCACGAATGCCGAATCTGACAAATAAATTACAGGTAGGATGCCTGAAACTAGGAAAAAGATTTAAGTTGGGCATTACTAACTGACGCACATCAATTGCAGGGATCTGCTTTGAACAGGACTCCTTCTGAGACAACGTTTTGAATGTGCACTGCGAATTTGTCAGTTTCAGTTTCTCATTTTTTCATTGTTCAGCTCTCCACATTTCTGCAACAGTTTGTGAAAATTCATCAGCATTTTAGTGCAAATTTATCCTACTATACACAGTTTTATATGTAATTCTGCCCAATAAACATAGTTTTGCACAGCTTTCCAGAATATAATGTAGTTTTGTATGCTATTCTCAGTAGTATATGCAGATTTTTCCTGATGTGCAACATATGCAACCTCAGTTAAGATTAGTAAACTAAAAGGGATGCAATTAATTGACAGATATTCCTAATCAGACAAGCAGCTCTAATATATCTCACACATGCAGAGTCAAAACCCACCATCTTAATATTCATGATTTCACATCATCCTAATCCATTCGTCAGCCAGAACTATCTTTCTCAACACAAATTGAATCTTGCTTTAGGTTTTTTGTTTTCCAGTTTGCTTTTTTTTTTTGCTTTGTTACAATGGGAGAAATAAGGGTGTGCCGTTCTGTGAGATTAGTGATTTCCCAACCCATGGCAAAGCCACAGATACAAGATGGGAAAGGGTGAGGTGTGCAGTCACATCCAAAGACAGGATGACTAAGGTGATTCACAAGCTGCTAACAAAATCTCCCAAGCAACAGAAAGGTTGGAAGGTTATATAGACCTTGGGAGTGCCATATTCCTTGGAGGTTTGGGCTGTGGCGTGCACTAGCATGCAGTTCTTTCAGGCGGGGGGGGGGGAGGCGTGAAAGAGGGTGGATATGTGCATACACCTTTATCCATTGATTTCTACAGGGGCAGTCCAGCTGTGGTTGGACTGCAACTCCCATCATCCCTGGCCATTGGCCATTCTGGCAGGGGCTTGTGGGAGATAGAATCATAGAATCATAGAGTTGGAATAGACCACAAGGGCCATCGAGTCCAACCCCCTGCCAAGCAGGAAACACCATCAGAGCACTACACCATCAGATGTAGTCCAACACCCTCTGGAGACTACAACATTGGCTACCCCTTGATTAGCACTACACAAATGAGTCTCAGGCTCCCAGATCCCCCCTTTCGCACTCCCCTGCTCCTCCTCTGGCATGGTCACAAGGACAAGAGCAAAACCATGTGCAAATGTAATCACAGTTTGACATTTGACCCATCCAAGAATAAATCGTGCTTAGCTTTAACTTTGATTTGCCTAGAAAAAGCCAACTTCAAATCTATTATTATTTGTATGGTATATGAATACCACCCAAATTCATGAGGAGGACAATAGAAGAACGAAAGCATAAGATGTGCTAAGTGGGAGCAAATTATTTAAACACTGTATTTAAACTAAATTCAAGGGAAGTGGAATCTTCCCTTGAACCTTGGCACCATTATGTCAGATGAGTTGAAGAGCAAATGTATCTAGTGCAATTAGCTTGGTGTTCAGTATTCATTAGTTCAATTAGTGCCAGACTTTGAATTCATTAAACTGATGCCATGGAATGTTTAAGAACCACTCTCCCAACCTCAGGATTAAATTACAGCTTGTCAATCATGTGGTCACGGAGCTATTTAACCTGCCATAGAGGAGCAAGCGAACAAATAAAGTTATATCAGATCTAATTATGGAAATCATCATTAGCTAATTAACCATCCATTTCTTCAGCATAAAGGTTTTAGCTTGAAGACTTCACAGTGGAGTTTCACAACAAGGAAGCCTGCATCATATAATAATTTGCAGACAACTGTAGCAATAAATACAATGAAAATTTTATTCCCAAGTATTTATTTATTGCTGCCTCCCACTTCCATGTGGGCCTATTGATGCTACATATGTAAACTGACAGTCATTCCCAGGGGAAACCCTGGGAACTTCAATTCTGTGAAAAGAAACTAGGGGACTCCAGTGGCAGACTCATCAAACTACAACTTTTGCAGGAAAATATTCATGGCTGTAGGATGATCCTGGAAGCTTCTTCAACAACCATTCTATCCTAGATCAAAGGGTGATGATATCCACCAGTAGAAAGTACTATCACCTCCTTCTCCTTCTTATTTGGTTCCCATGGCAACTATATTGTTTTGACACCCATGACACTTTTATCAAGATATGAGTACCAGCATCTCATTTTTTTCCCGAGAGAGAGTACTGCATAAATCATTCAGGACTAGAATCACAGTCACATTATCCGCACCCCATATGCACACAATCCATACATAATTAATCCAATCAGCCACACCACCCAGATTGGCACACAGCACACTCAAGAAGTCCTCAAACAGCTTATCCCATAATCTTTTGGAATATCATGTAACATTCCCAGAAACCTCACACACCCTTCTTTTTCCAAATAGCTCCACCCATATGTGTGCAGCTGGGAATTCATGAAAGCAAGGGTCACCAAGAGTAGCAAATTCTCTATTTCAGGGCTAGGCAGGTCTCAATATTTATTATTATTATTATTATTATTATTATTATTACTACTACTACTACTACTACTACTACTACTTATACACTGCTCTTCATCTGAAGATCTCAGGGTGGTTCACAGCATAAAAATACAAAATAAAAACACAAAATACGTATTAAAACCAGAACAAACCAAACCCATAATCTCCTCCCTCTCTCACACACACACACATTTAAAAGGACATAGAATGCTAATCAGCCCAAGGCCTGGCAGAAGAGAAACACCAAAAGATGTATAATGAAGGCGCCAGATGAATCCCCCTGGAGAGATGGGGAACCACTCCACAAATGGGGAACCACTCCAGAAAAGGCCTGATCTCGTGTTGCCACCCTCCAGACCTCTCATGAAGGAGGCACATGAAGAAGAGCCTCAGCTGATGATCGCAGGGTCCAGGTCATCTCATATGGGGAGAAGTGGTCTTTCAAGTATTGCAGTCCTGAGCCATTTAACATCAAAGCCAGCACTATTAATTGGGCCTAGAAACTAATTGGCAGCCAGTGCAATTCGGCCAGGATTGGTGTAATATTCTCAAACTGCCCTGCCCCAGTGAGCCATCTGGCCACTGAATTCTTCAGCAGCTGATGTTTCCGAACCATTTTATACAGCCCAAGGTGTAACACATTGCAGTAATCTAGCCTACAGGTTACCAGAGCATAGATAACAGAAGTTAGGCTAATCCTGTCCAGATGGGGGCACAGCTGGGCCACCAACCGAAGTTGATGGAAGTCACTCCGGACCACTTAGACCACCTGAGCCTCAAGTGACAGCAAAGGATCCAGAAGTACCCACAAACTACGCATCAAGAGCAGGCACCCACGTGGTCTAGGGCAGTGTTTCCCAAACTTTTTTGGGCAACGGCACACCTGTTTACTGAAAAAAAATCTCGCGGCACACCACCATTAAAGCCCCGCCCCGTGACGTCAGCGCGCAGCGTCACGCCGGGAGGGACGCACGAAAGTGAAAGTTTTTTCCCTCCCCCCTCAGTCCCTCGCTCGGAATTCAGCTCGTTTGGGGCATCGCTCCGGCTGCTCCCTCTCCCGCCGCGCAGGAGCGATGCCTCTCTCTGGCTCTCCCTCCGCGCAGTCTACGGAGACAAAGCGAGAAATGTAAGACTAAATCTAAGTGAATCAATAAGAAAGGAGGATATGATGGTATGTAAATTAGACGGGCAGGTTGAGATGACAGGAGGGGCTGGGATGGATGCGGCTCTGTAGGAGAGAGGGGCAACCCGGGCAGCGGCTGAGAAACCCGCTGCGTCCGCCGGTTTCCACTTATTCTGCCCTGCGTGGGGAAGAAGGCGGGAGGCCTGTGGCAGGAGCTCCGCCCCGAGGGTTGTCTTCTGCTGCGCCGGGTGAGAGGATCCGTCGCTAAGCCGGACACACGCACGCTCTTCTCCGCCCAGAGGTTCGGGAGCGCACGCAGCTCGGGCTCGGCTGAATCTCCCACCAAGCGCCTCCTGCTCGCCGCTGCTCTTGGCTCCAGCCTCCCTCGCTTTGCGCGCCGAGCGGCTCCTCGCCGCCGCCGCCCCGCCTCTCGCCGCCCGACTCGCCCGCCTCCCTCCAGGCATCTCGCGGCACACCAGCCGATGTCTCACGGCACACTCGTGTGCCGCGGAACACCGGTTGGGAAACACTGGTCTAGGGAACCACCCACTAACAGTGTCTCAGTCTTATCTGGATTGAGCTTCAGTTCGTTGGCTCTCATCCAGTCCTTTACTGAAGCAAGACAATGGTCCAGCACATCCACTCCCATAACTGCAGATGTAAAGGAGAAGTAGATCTTTGTGTCATCAGCATATTGCTGACAAAACTCCAGATAGCCCCACTTAGCAGTTTCATGTAGGTGCTAAATAGCACAGGGGATAAACGTGAACCTTGAGGGAACCCATATTGAAGGCTCCACGTGGCTGAAGAGCACTGACCAAGCATCACCCTCTGGAAATGACCATCCAAGTAGGACCAGAACTATTGCAAAGTGGTGCCACCCACCCCTAACTCAGCCACATCAACAGTGACTCCAAACATTTGCTCTGAGGGGTAAGAAATAGGCCTATCAATGGCTCTAAAGTCATGGAAATTCCATGTTCTGTGACAGCAAAATCTGGACACCAGGTGCTAGGGACAACCTAATAAGGAAGGCTTCCGAATGAGGGCATTTGCAGCCCTACCTGAAAAGGCCAGGGGTTGAATCTTGGACCTTCTGCACACAAAGCGGATGGTCTCCCACTGAGCTACAGCACTTTTCCTCGTCTCAGCCATCTTTTAGGATCAGCAGGATGGGCCCCTTCTTAAGCTTCGCATTTGTACATCAGGATGGCAACTGGCCAGGAGATGAGGAAACCAATCCAGCCTAGCTTGCTCTTATGCCTTGAAGCAGCTGTCTGATATGCCGAAATCAGCAACACTGGTGTTTGCTTTTTTCCAGGCTGTAGAGATAAGCATTATCACCTGCTAGCTGGTGTTGATCCAGCCTGCTCCTGAAGTGATGCTCCTGGGGCCAGTTCAGAACTTGGCAACATACGTTCTGCCCACTTCTAACAAAGGAGGAAGCACTAGGCAGGCTTAACCACATATTACCGTAAATGGTGTGTTGTAGGAGAAAAAGAGATGGTGACCAAAGAAGTTTAGACTGTGTGAAATGCTCTCTGGTATCAACCTCCCTTCCTCACTCTCTTCTTCTTTCTGTGCATCCAGATATAACCACTGCAGTTGTTAGGACATCCATGGTCTCAGTTCCCTTCCATATGCAAGATGACACAGGGTGGGAAGGAGGGTTAGCTCAAAGTTTGAGATGGGCTCCCTGGGCAAAGTGTCCTCTAGTGGGTCCCTCCCTCTGTTAGTGGGCTTACCTGGCTGCAGTAGCAGTGACCCAAACAGGACTGGGCAGCTGTGTCTAGCACACCTTTTTAATCACCCACAATGCTTCAGAATGATGCTAAATAGGGGGAAATTATAAGGGTTGTTATACGATCCATGTACACCCACCTCACCTACCACTGGAATTTCCAAAGACCATATGACTACCATCCCTTTCATTATATTTTTCCATAATCAGTAACTTGCTAGTTTTATGATTGATTCAGTTTGTATTTAAAGGCGTGTCTACCCAGTTTACACTTTCTGAAACAAGATATGGACTGAAGAACAGCCATACTTTGAAATTAGCATTTCTCCAATATATTTTTTTTGCAATCCAGTTCTCCAGCCAAGTAATGTGCACAGAAATGCAGGTGTGCATATGAATGCACATATTAGTGGAAATGACATACAAAATGCATATGGGGCAAAGTTGCTTTGCAAAAAAATGTGTATATTAGGCAAAATTACACACAAAAGTGTGTTATGGTAGCATAAAATAGCACTAAAATGTTGAAAGCCGTTGTGGAAATGTGGAGAATTGAAAAATACTCTTCCCTATTCTCAATATAATTGTAGTTTTTATATCAATAGTTTTTATTGATTGTTTTTAAAATAAAAAATATAAAAATATAAAACAAACATATTTTTACAGATTTGCATATCTCGAGGAGGCACTTTGTTTCAAAATAGGATCCAGAGATCAGTAGCAAATATAAATGCAAGCATAAACAAGGAACTAGCAATAAAAAGAATAACTGGGTTGGAGAGGGGAGGGGAAAGAGGATACTGTCAGGAGCATCTTTACAGAATTCTCAGGCTGATAAAGGCTAAAAGATTAAAAAGTCACATTACAAACCCATACAGCAATGTGCATTGAGAGTTTGTGTGGAAGAGGAGAGAGGTACAGAATGGTTTATTGCATTGTCTCAGGGAAGCCGTATACTTTGAAAAGTTGGATGTGGACTCAGATTGCAAGAGTCATCTTTTACATATTGAATAAAATCATACCATGTTGGGGGGGGAGAGAATGTATTGCTTTGTCCTCTTGCTTTTTAGCTTATGAGTGAGTTTCCTAGTAAACCTACTTGCTGGAAGTGTGGCCCCTAGTAAATCTGTCCAGTGTCTAGCAATAATATTTCAAGCAGCAATTAACATCAAGAGGCAGAAAAACTAAATGTATAATTATTGTTAATTGTTAAGTCTAATTTTAGTTTTTCTGCCTCTTGATGTTTTCCTCCGTGGTCTCCTACTCTTGTTTTGTTTTAATGATGTATCATTGCACTCTCTTATTATGTGTGTGTGCGCGTGCGCATGTATTCTTTTTTGTAATGTGCTTTGGTTATTATTTTAATAGAAAAGTGAGATATAAATAAAAAGAAAAGTAATCAACACACCCACTCGGTATCACTACCATAGAGTCGAATTAGGAAAAGCAGGAGCCTTTCCACAGTGGGTCAAGAGAGACTTTTCTCCTGTATGCCACCCTCCCCCCAAAAAAACAAAAAAAACACACAGCTTGGCTGCACTAACCTAATTACTCCAGAATTATTTGGCAACTACTGGTTCTGTACTAAAAATCATAGCTTAGAATTCATTCTTTGGCCCTAACCACGCACTAGAAGGACAGAAATGTCATTTTTTTATCATCATTTAATCACTCTGTTCATTAAGAATAATAAAAACAAAGCTGGCTAAAGGATCACTTTTCCAAGGATCTTGAATGTTTGCCCCTAGAAGCCTTAGGTGTTTTGCCTCCCAAATTCACCACACCCGAAGTACTACTTTTCCCCCCAGGACTGGTGAAAGGATTCAGGAATCCTGGATCCTAGACACACTCTTAGGTGTCTCGATCCCACAATCTTTGGTGGAACTCTCTTCCAAATGGGATCAGACAGGGGGACCCTCCCTGTTAAACTTCTGGCACCTACTGAATACTTTCTTATATTTCAGAAAGCATAGGAAATAGGAAAGTACCTTATACCAAGTCAGACCATTGATCCATCTAGCTCAGTACTGTTTACACAGACTGGCAGCAGCTATCCAGGATTTCAGGCAGGCTGTCTCTGCCAACCCCACCTGGAGATATGGGGGATTGAACCCGGTACCTTCTGCTCGCAAAGCAAGTGCTCTACCACTGAGCTATGGTCCTTCCCCATAGAGCATTTTAAGGCATTTCTGATCTGATAGTTATTACCCGACTTGTTTTAATCTTTCTTGCATTTGTTGAGCTTGTTCTCTGCTGTTTAAGCAGTATATAAATTGTTGAAATAAAGGTGGCCTAAATGAATGCAATGGGAACTTCTAACGCTTACCTCTGTCGGGTATTATCTGCTGGTCATTTTCACAAGAATTATATCCATAATGCCACTGCTTGCAGATCCCTCTTTGAATCATCAAGGCAGCCAAAATCAGTAGCAGAACTCCTGCGGTGCCGAATCTGGGTGCCCCTTGCTGTCTTGCCATGATTCCGTTTTTCTTTTGTTTTCGGATCTGCTGTCACTCCGTCCTCCCCGAAGTGGGAGAGCACGGCAAGAGGGATGCCCTCTGGGGTGACAGGGCTTGTTTCTCTCCAAGATGCAGATGCTTTAATACCTAGCCCTCAGAAGGGCGGGCACAATGTCACCAAACTGGTTTGACTGATGTGCTGGGTTGCGAGTGTGGCGTCTGGCAGCCAAGTGGGGAAGCCGGCTGATGAAGCCTAAGATATCCACCTGGAGAATCCAGCCAGCTGTGCTCGTGCATCCCTGGAGGATGTGCCAGTACCTGGTGGAGAAATGGTATCCAGGAAGATATAAGAGGTGGAGAAATGGCAAAGCCAGGAAGATATAAGAAGCTGCTTAATCCAAACCACAGCTCTTGGAAAAGATGGGGCTGATTGTATGGGCCAATTAGCCTTCAATACTTCCATGTGTTGAGGAACAGGAGGGTGAGGTTAGTAGATTAGAAATTATATGTAGGAGGTAAATGACTCCTGCTGAACCTCTATTAGCAAGGAGTTCCACAACAATGAGCCTGCCTCACTGAAAGCTTGGCCTCTGGTAAAGGCCAGTTGAACTTCAGGGACATGATGAGTATACACTGGTACCTCGGGTTAAGTACTTAATTCGTTCCGGAGGTCCGTTCTTAACCTGAAACTGTTCTTAACCTGAAGCACCACTTTAGCTAATGGGGCCTCCTGCTGCTGTCGCACTGCCACCGCGCAATTTCTGTTCTCATCCTGAAGCAAAGTTCTTAATCCGAGGTACTATTTCTGGGTTAGCGGAGTCTGTAACCTGAAGCGTCTGTAACCTGAAGCGTATGTAACCCAAGGTACCACTGTATTCCGCCCTTCATCCTAGGGTGACTTGCAAGAATAAACAAATAGTACCTCGTTCCCTATAGGCTAGCTAGATCACAGAGATTGACAGGGGCTGAGCTTTAGGAGGTGTTTCTGGCTCCCAAAATCAAATCTCTATAATCAGAATTCAGTGCATTAGCCCCTGCATGACGGAACACCTGCCCAGTGGAGGTGAAACAGATGCCAACATTGAACGGATTTTGATGTGCTGCAAAAACATTTTCATTTCTGAAACATTAACTTATCCGGTCACTTTTAGTACTCTACTGTTTCATTTATGAGGTAAATTATTCTGTATTTTATTTTGTTGCAAATTGCTTAGAGATCTATGTTTATGGTGGATTCGTAAATGCTTTAAATGTGCACATACAACAATCAGCAATGAAAAGAAAAGAAAATCAAGAATACAGTAAAACAGAGCATTGGTCACTTTTCCAGCCACCCAGCCATCCTTCTACATAAAAAATGAAAATAATCCTCACAGAACAGGCAGGTTTTTAGCTGGCCCCTGATGCTAAACACAGTTGGTGTCCAAGGGAAGCACATTCCATAGACTGAGAGTTGGCCAACCATCAGCTTTGCGGTTTTCTGTGGTGTTTTCTGTACTCTGATGGAGGTAGAGCTGTTGATTTTTTGCTCTGCTGTGGCTGCTGCCACTCTCCCATTGAGTTTTGCAAATAGGCTGTTGCTTAGTTGAAAGCCTCCGAGATCCGCTATCAAGTGCACGGCATGTGGGCGAACCGTTACAGCGTGCTGCCTTTGTTTCTCCATGATCTGCCCGGCGATAAATATTCAACATCATGGTTTTGTTATCATGTATCGGTTGGATTATTGCAATGTTCTAATTAATATGTCTGGCTATATTGCGTCTACTGTATATATGAGACGGAGAGACAGAAGTATCTCTCTATCTGTGGTTTCCCTAACAGGAACTAAGACGTAAAAGAAAAAAGAAAATACATGTGATGTTTCCTTATCCCTCAAGAAATCTGACTCTTCAGGGAACGAGGTTTAGCTTTTACCGTGGGGTTACAAAGATTGGAATCAATGGCATTACCTTGATGGATCTCTATCTGGCAGGATTCATTTCTCATCCTAAATTAACATGCCTGAAATGTTAAACAAAAAAGTCTCTCTATGCTATGCTGAAAGCATAGTCATGTACTTTCCCGGAACATCAACCAACTGCTGCCAAGGGTGTTCTACTAGCAAGTCGGGCCACTTGAGATGTTCTATATCAGGGGTAGGCAACCATTTGTCTGTCAGTGGCCACATTCCCTCAGGGGTAATCTGCCAGTGGCCTCTTGCCAATAAGGGGCAAGACTGCAGCCAGAGGTGGGTGGAGCATCGTTCTTGCTAGCCAGAGGTCTGATATGATATCTTGTAGAAGGTTTTTGAAATTAGGCCTAAGGCTGTAGGTTGGCCAACCCTGATCTAGGTGGATCAGCCAAAGTAGAATTTCAAGCTTCTGATTTCTCAGCAGTCATAAAAGAAGTTGTCCTTTCATCTCCACACACACACACTTCTGTATGATTCTGCCATATACGGAATCATTCCAGTGCTTTCTTTCTATTAAAAAAAAAAGGTTAGGGGTACTCTCATTTTCCCACTCATATTGAAATACTGCCCCTCAATGAGGCCAATCTTAGATTCACAAAATGTTTAGGGGTATGTGTACCCCTGCGTACGCCCAGAAAAAAAGCACTGAATCTATTGGGCTATCTAGACCTGGACTGCTTTACTTGGACTGGTAGTGTTTCTCTAGGGCAGCCTTCACCAAATTGGTGCCCCCCAGAAGTTTTAGACAACAACCAGACTCAGCCCCATTACATAAAATTCCAGAGCACAATTTAAGGGCACAGGAGCATGTTGAAGTTAAGCAAGACCACCCAAGGAACTGTGCGCACACTGCCTTCAGTTCCATGATGGCAGAAAGGCCAGGCAAAGATGTAAGACATAAATAAAAGCATAACTCTCAGAAGATTCGTGCGATCAGTTCAGAAGCTTTGGGGCCAAACTTGTAAAAATATTTTTGGGATTGAATCTTCTGTGGTTGTGATTAAGGACAACTGCATAGGGGCGGGTGTGGGGTGCTGAATCAGAGTGGAGCCATTGCACTGAAAGGGAGGCAGGTAAGAAAAATGAGAGCCCTGTTGGCTCCAACCAAAGCCCTGTCTAGACCAGCATGCTGTTCCCCACAGTGGCCAAGCCAGATGCCCACAAGCAATTTCACCCCCGTTTTGTTGTTCCCCAATGACTGCTATTTAGAGGTGCACCGGAGGCAAAATATTATGATAGTGGTTAATGGCTTTTGATAGCCTTATGCTCTGTGAATTTGTTTAAGCTCCTTCTAAAGTCATCTAAATTGGCAGCCATCACCACATCTTGTGGCCGTGAATTCTATAGTTTAAGATTTAGCCTTCATTTTAAAAGGTCACCATTATCTGCTGCATTAACTGCATCTACGTACAGGTTCCAAAAGGGAGAGCGAGAAAATGGGGTGAGGAGCAAAGGGCACGAAGGCATGCTGATTTTATGCACATTTACCCAGAAGTAAATCACTTGGGAGTCTCCTTCCCAAGTAAGCGTGCATATGTTATAGCATTTACCTGTTTTAGAGAAGGGACCCTTTCCGTATTAGAGACATTTGCCTGTAGGGAAGTCACAGTGTTTTCAATTGCCTACTTTTTTCAGCCTTGTCACATGAAGATAACAATCATTTCTTAAGCTAGGGTGTGGTGGAGCTCATTAGCTAACGTTCATAAAACAGCTCGGAGGTGCTAAGCAAGCATAGTTACTGTTATTACGCACCACGGAGAATTAACTCAGACAACTCCAGTACAACCCAGCTATTAGGAACGTAGGATTTCTTGGAACATAAGATTCCCAGTTTTCATTGTTGGAAGGTGTGGGGTCTGGCAACATAAGGCAAAATGTCTGGGTTTCGTTGCCAGATCTGGGAAGCAAGAGAGGACTGGGGGGTTACATGTAGTGAACTGAAAGCTAAGGTGAATGGGAGATGCAGTGGTTTCCTCCTCCAGATCTGGGCAGGGAATCTGGACATGGGGAAAGACTGCAGCTCAGTGGTAGAGCATCTGCTTTCCTGCAGAAGGTCTTCAAACCCCAGCATCTCCAGTTAGGGCTGGTGAAATCCTGGAGAACTGCTGCCAGTCATTATGAACATTATTGGGCCAAATGGACCAATGTAAGTCAGCTTTTTATAATCTTGTGAAGTGGATGTAGTTGACTGGGGAGGAGGTCATCAGGTACAGTGGTACTTCGGGTTAAGAACTCGGGTTCTGGCGGTCCGTTCTTAACCTGAGACTGTTCTTAACCTGTGGTACCACATTAGCTTATGGGGCCTCCCACTGCCGCCATGCCACTGCTGTGCAATTTCTGTTCTCATCCTGAAGCAAAGTTCTTAACCCGAGGTACTATTTCTGGGTTATCAGAGTCTGTAACCTGAAGCGTCTGGTACCACTGTACTAGGATTCCAAGGTTCCTTTTAGTGTTGCCAGCACTGCTTTTGTTTCGTTTGTTTTCTGGCTGTCTTGTTTACTGAGCCATGCTCCTGGGTCTGTAATAGCAACCTGACAAGCAGAAATAAAGCAATGAAAGCTTTTTCCTGTCATGGAAGTACAGAGGTGGGCAATGTTCTACTGGCAGGATTTAGTGGGCATTGTTGAAAGCACAGGCTCAGTGGTGGACTTTGGGCTCTCAAATTTCAGTGGTGTCCTGTGAAATGCTAAAATCCCCCCACCTCTCGCACTCTGTTCTATAGCATTGTGGCATCCCCTGTAGTATGGCACCCACTGTGACTGGTGGGTCAAACTACCCTAAAACCGCCTCTGACAGGCTCAAGGTCAGAACATAACATAGGAGGCCTGCTGGATCAGGCCACAAAACCCATCAGGTCCAGAATTCTGTTCTTACAGATGGCTATGTGAAACCTGTAAGCAGGACACGAGTGCCACCACAAGATAGAGGACCAGTTGCCAGCCCAATTTGAAATTGACTAAGAAGGATTAAACCATCTTGATTGAATTGATTGTTACATATTGAGGCTACTTAAGCTCTTGGCTTCAACTTGCCTGCACTGATCTTAGACTCCCACTGAATCCAGCAT